AGAGAGAGGGAGAGAGAGAGAGTGGCGAATAATCGATTAATATTCACCAGGGCTGTCCGATTTTCGAATTTGATCATAGTCAGTTTCTGGCATCCCTAGTGAGGACCCCCCTGGAGGAGGTGAGGACCCCCCTAGAGGAGGTGAGGGCCCCCCTGGAGGAGGTGAGGACCCCCCTAGAGGAGGTGAGGACCCCCCTAGAGGAGGTGAGGGCCCCCCTGGAGGAGGTGAGGACCCCCCTAGAGGAGGTGAGGTCCCCCCCGGAGGAGGTGAGGTCCCCCCCGGAGGAGGTGAGGTCCACCCCCAAATAAAGCAGGTTAAAATAATGAGATTGCATACATGTTCTTTGAGTAAACACTGCCAAAGGTCCCACAGACCCAAACAGCACACAAAGGTTAAAGGTCAGCATATCATAATGTTAAAATGTGCTAAATATATACACTGCAAAAAAAAAAAGAGAAATTATGAGCAGAGAATTCCTTTTACTGCTCGTTTGGCGGGTCTTGCCAGAATTTATTAACAATTGGCACAAAACAAAACACAATTGTTCTTGCCCTTTACTGCTCTCAATATAAACACATGTTCATGTCTTCAAATATACTTGAATGCTTGAAGTATTTAAAATAAAGACATTTGTGTATACCCAATTGTCATTAACATCATGACTCAAAATAAGAATGTACTGCTTCAAAACAGATATTGGTGCTGTATTCAAACACTGTTAATGACCTTTTCAGGCAAAGCATTAGCATTGCTCTAATATATGCTAGCATTAGCATCAAGCAACACGCATTTATAATAATTAAATGATGACTGACCATAGGACACATAGACAATACAAAACACACCTAAAACACTTGTTAGCTATAAACAATTCTCTTGCATTCACTTTCATCAGGGAGCGCGAGTCTACTACATTTAAATAGCGACCGCCATTACACATACACACACAGCCACCACGAGGTGGTCTTCTACGCGGCATTAAACGGCATCAAACATAATAACCAACATCTAAACATCACTTCAAACTTAAGACATTGCGATTTATAACATTTGTGACAATCTGTACACATTACTGACCTGTAGAGCAGGAGAAATGATGAGCAGAGAATTCCTTTTGCTGCTCGTTTGGCGGGTCTTGCCAGAATGCCAAGCTAACGACAGCTCCGTCATCACGTCAGACATTTTACGGCAGACACTTAAATAATAACAAACCCCTTTACGGCAGTGTTACTCTGCCATCTACTGCCCCTTGCTGTCCATTGTTAAATGGTGATCACCACACTTTGTGCGGGTCAAACATACCCCTGCTTCAGTGTATAGTATCATCATCACCATATAAGCAGGGGTTAAATTGGGCCGGGGCTGTCCGGGGCTCAGCCCCGGCACATAGGACGATGCTCTGACGTCATCACCCTCGCTCATTTGTCATTTGTTTAAGCCATATGTTAAACCATCTCTCGTTCTTAATATAGACTTTATTTAGGGTCGATATGTGTTGACTTTACTTTAAAATAGCAGATCTCTGTGACATGATATAGTTTTTCCGCTTAGTGAACGTGTGTCTCTGCTCCGATCAGGAGCTGCAGCACCGCGATCTGGTGCACTTTAAGCACACATTACTAGAGACCTGATCTAGGGGGTACAACTCTAAAGACCCATATGAAAAAGATCGGTTTACATTTTAATAATCAAATATGTGAACATAACCAATAACCTACCATAGCCAATAACAAATAAATGTAACTTTTATTTTTGTATATTCATATCTTATTTTACCTAGTTAACATTTATTTATGCATATTTTTATATCTCTCAAATTTTAAATGATATTTCTGGTTTACTGTCCTATAGTATACATTGAAATGATTTCAAACCTGTTTATCCAAATAATTATAAAGGAATGCCTTGGAAATATTTGTTTACATAAATTGCATTTATCTCTCTCTCTCGCTCCCACGCCCACTTTGGCTGTGAGCTGCGGGCGCCTGATAAGCCAACACCCCCCACTTCATCACTTACAGCGCCCATCGTACAGGGAGAATGAAAAGTGTAACCGGGGTGAAAAGGGTGTTACCTTTACTTAATTATGAATGTTGTTACATCAAGGCTGAAAATTAGGATGAGCGCAAACAGTCAAAAAGGTTTTTTTCCCTCCCGGAGCTGCCAGCGCAGCCCCCCCCCCCCAGAACTTGTTTAATTTGTTATCACAATTACTAATGTCATGTTTTTTTTATTCTTGAAGAGAATGTCTTTTTTTCTGGCATTCTTCCAGGATTAACAAAAATAAGAATAACATTGAGAAAAATCTTTGAAGTAAATGGCTGTTGTTAAACACTTCCCACATTTACTTCAATCGTACAGTAGAAAAGATAAAGGTATCCAGCAATACACAATAGAATATATAAAGAATAAATTAAAAATCTCTTCAAAAGACCAATACACTACAAAAACAGAAACTTATTGACATATAGGTAATATACATCAAAAAGGCTTCAAATGTATTCAGTATTATGAACATGTTTTAATTGGGGTGTGGACGTCACATCCTGTAGGGGGGTCCGGGGGTATGCCCCCCCCGGGAAGAAATGTTTGAAAATGTAAAGTAAAATGCTTCAATCTGGTGCACTTTAAGCACACATGACTAGAGACCTGATCTAAGGGGTACAACTCTAAACACCCATATGAAAAAGATCGGTTTACATTTTAATAACCAAATATATTAACATAACCAATCACCTATACCATAGCCAATAACAAAAAAATGTAACTTATTTTATTTTTGTTGTTCATTCATATCTTATTTTACCTAGTTAAAATGTATTTATGCATATTTTTATATCTCTCAAGTTTTAAACGATATTTTTGGTTTACTGTCCTATAGTATACATTGAAATGATTTCAAACCTGTTTATCCAAATAATTATAAAGTAGTGTCTTGGAAATATTTGTTTACATAAATTGCATTTATCTCTCGCCTGATAAGCCAACACCCCCCACTTTCATCACTTACAGCGCCCATCGTACAGGGCAAATGAAAAGTGTAACCGGGGTGAAAAGGGTGTTACAATGACTTAATTATGAATGTTGTTACATCAAGGCTGAAAATTAGGATGAGCGCAAACAGTCAAAAAGGTTTTTTTCCCTCCCAGATCTGGCGCCCTAGGCGACCGCCTATGCCAAAAACCGGCCCTGTACACCATGCTAAATGTATGTCTGCATAAAGCTGAGTTATGATCAGTCATAATAACACAGAATTTGGTGATGATGAAATAGTTTACAGTGAGATTTACTCCCATACTTTTGGCCATACTCACGCAGCCCTACAAATGAATTGAGATTTCCACACAAATGTTCTTTAGCAAGTGTGCAGAGCAGTGTTGATTTAAAAAGCAATTTGACAGTTGGATATTTGTAAACCTTTTTTTGTGTATATATATTAATAATTTAAGATGTAAATTAATTCCAGTTTATTTGTAGTACTTTCTATTTTTATTGTGACATGTGGTGGCATCAATGTGTGCATTTGATACAGATAATGGAGCAGTTGCTTTAGGGCCACAGTGGATATCCCTTAAGGTCAAATAATGAGATCCTCGACCTCCGCCCCCCTCTCGCACCTCCATACAGAGCCCCCCCACATATCAAATCCCAACTTAACCCCTGCATATAAGTATATGTTAGTCAGCAGCAAACCAAACTGCAGCCTGGGATTTAAAATAACCCTATATGACTAGAGAGAGGAAGTGCTCGAGACATTTGGCCATTGGCAAGAATAATATTCAAAACTGAATGTTAAAGCAGCATTTGCTTTGACCTGCCTGTCTGAGTTATTGCATGGAACAGACATGACATCTCTTGAAACTATTTTTACAGTTCTCAGGCCAAAGGAATTTTAATCAGGAATAAGTGAAACTTTTAATGTCTGCACTTTTAATTTTGCTGCTAGTCTCTTTTCTCTTGACCTCATCTTCACCTGCTGCAGGTCAGTCAAGGTTATGGTGTGATGCATACATCCTTTTGGTTTTCAGTTTACATTAAAGCACTTTAATATTATATTCAATGTTTTTTAGATCAGGTCAGATTGGCTGGCTCTGGGTCCAATCACTGCTCTGGAAGAGTTGAGATCTTCCACAGCAGCACCTGGGGAACAGTGTGTGATGATAACTGGGATCTAGACGATGCTCAGGTCGTCTGCAGACAGTTAGGCTGTGGTTCAGCGCTGAACGCCCCTCACTCAGCCCACTATGGTGAGGGGACCGGACCAATCTGGCTTGATGATGTTGGCTGTTCAGGAAGTGAAAGGTCTGTGACTGAGTGTACCCATCCAGGATTTGGGACTCATGACTGTGGACACGGTGAGGACGCTGGTGTGGTCTGTTCAGGTGAGAGGATATTAGTTATTATCTTCTCAAAGTCAGCTTCTTTTCAGCTAGCTCCAAAGTACCAGGGGTATCAGAACAATTCATTTTTCTTTTTTTTTGCATTCCATCAAGTGATTCTCCAAAAACAATGTAAAAACCAAAAACTCAAAATTCACAACATGATTATATCCAACCAAATAATATTCAGCATATCAACACCATAGATAAGATTTCATACAATCCATCAATACAACCATGGAATTGAAAAGGAACTTCAAACAGAATATACTTTAGTTTTAGGAATAATGACGGCAAGGTAAGACAAGACAATCAGAACAGAGCTGTAGTCAGACCCTGAAATGATCCAGAACAGAAAAGCAGCACGCGGGAAAACACACAAAGACAGGAAGGGTAGAAAACTGTTTCCAAAAAGACAGGAAGCAGATGAGCCAAAAACTAGGGCCTGACATTAATAACAATAAAAAGAACATTATAAAATAACTTCCTATGTCATTATTCAAATTCAATTCAATTCAAATGTATTTATAAAGCCCAATATCAGAAATCACATTTGTCTCAGAGGGCTTCACAAATCAACAAACATGAATGATGATGTAAAAACAACAAACATATCTGAGAATATAGTAACATGACAAGATACATGTGAAAATACCAATGAATGGGTACACAACACAATGACACAAATACAGTTAGAATACAATCATTAACCTTCCATAACATGAAGGGTCCATGAGGATGTTTAAAAGGGAGTTTAAAACCAGTCCGAACTGTACGCTGTACCAAAGAGGAAAGTCTTCAGGATACTCTTAAATGTGTGCACACTGCCTCCCTAATCAACACTGGAAGTTGGGTCCAGAGGATCGGAGGTTAGTAGCTCAAAGCTCTAGCACCTGATCTCATTTAGTGAACTCTGGGATCTTAATGCCCTAGAGGGGCAATAGGGGATTAAAAGATCCTGCAGGTAGGATGGTGCCTGACCATTGAGCGCTCTGTATGTACAGTAAGTCAAAGTATTTTAAAATCAATCCTGGACTGAACTGGGAGCAAAGCTGCTAAAACAGGAGTGGTGTGCTCCGTTTTCTTTGTTCCTGTAAAAACCTGTGCTGCAGCATTTTGTATTCATTGAAGGGTCTTTAATGATGAGTTGGGACAGCCTGATGAAAGGGAAGTGCAATAATCCAGCCTGGAGGTGATCAAAGCATGGATGAGTGTTTCTGCATTGTTGAGATTTAATATGTGCCTGATTTTTGAAATATCCCGCAGATGGGATCACATTCTGCAAGTGACACGGTTTCTGTCTGATGATATTGATATGAATTGCTCCTTTATTCCACTTTATAAAAATGTTCATAGACACACAAAGGCTTTTAAAAAAAAGACAATCAGGAAGGCTGTGAAAGCGATGATATATTTCGTTTTGTTGTATCTTTCAGAGAGACTCCCAAAGCCCAGCCTGTCCATGTATCCTAAGGTCACCTGGGGTCAGAGCTAAGGTCACCTGGGGTCAGAGCTAAGGTCACCTGGGGTCAGAGCTAAGGTCACCTGGGGTCAGAGCTAAGGTCACCTGGGGTCAGAGCGTCAGCATCACCTGTTCTTCATCAACTTTACCTCGACAGCTGTTTTCTAACACAACGTTCATCCTGGAAAAGACTTCCAGTTCCTTCAGAGAGTCCAGAACTCCAGGTAGCAGCTCTGCTTCCTTCAGCATTCAGGAAGTGAACCTGGACCATGAGGGATGGTACCGGTGTCAGTATCAGATACGAGGCTCAGGACGAGACTTCAGCTCTCCCTTCAGTGACTCCGTCAGACTCTCTGTTGCTGGTTATTGTAAGTGTTAGTATTTCTTAATATACTTCTAAGTACCGTACTATGCCAGTTTGTGAATACACCTTTAATAACTTAGGCAAAAGGCAAATCATTCCAACATCTACCCCCCTTCACACAGAGGATAGCCTTTAACTTTAGCAGTTAGTGTGTAGATTAGCAGTTTAATCATTAAGAACGCGGTTTGGAAATGACTGACTGTGTTTCTCTGGTAGTTTCTGAGGTGCTGGTCTTCGCCATTCGTGGGGTGGGTCTCCTGGTGATCCCACTGGTGCTGGGGGGGATTTTCCTGAGCTGTAAGAGGAGACCCTGTGCCCTCAACCAAACTCAAAGTATGTGCTCACCAACACACTCAGTACATTAGATAAACACTGGCTGTTAGATTTCTTAATATGAATATTATTAGTTGTATTCCTTTGTTTGGAACAAAGTACATGAACGTGGAAAATACAGGTCAATACATTCAAAGCAAAAAAATAAAATCTATATGTCAGGAAAGAGTGTCATCCAACGCATGTGGTGAAGGAGTTTTAAAGAATTAAATCTGATCTTAATGAAACATCTCCTGCTTGTGTTTCAGTGTCTGTCAGAGCCATGAGCGAGAACAACGAGGAGGACGAGGAGTACGTCTATGCAAACGCTTACGTAGGATTCAGAAAGGGCAATGAAGAAGGAGAGCAAAGAGATTCCAGTGACCACAAACATGATTATGTAATTGTACTCCCTGCAGTTAGTGAACAAGTGGTTAGTGGAGACCATGAGGCTGAGTATCAGAACCTTTGAGGAGTCCAACAGTCAGCAGAGTCTCAAAGGTGGTAGACAAGGACGTTCAAAGTCTGACCCTTTTTATCGGATGGAGTAGATACATTTTGAATCATGCTGGAGCTTGCTAATTCTCATTATTGTCAATGCATGTGTGTACAAAACACACTTTTTATATTATGTTTCATCTTTTCATTGCCAACAGCAACGCTGTAGCTATTGTGCATATGACAATAAAGCTTTTGAATCTTTTAAATATAATACGAGCATTTGTCCTGTGTAGCACACACAGGGATGCAAACTTGTCATCTTTCGGCGAAATTCGCCGTTTTGAATCCAAAATAGGTCGTTTGTGTGATTCATGTAGATCTGCAATAAAAATATTTTTGGGGTATGGGGGGGGTCTGGGACCCGGAGTAATCAGCGGCCGCGAGCTGATATGTGCCATCATGACACGCATGGTGTTCTTTTTTTATATATTATAATGCAGCGCGAGCTGTGTGCTGGAGTCTTCCTGCCTGTCGGCTCTGCTCATGGATGTATAATAAGGCTCTGCTGCTCCGGGATGAGGGTCTAGCTTCAGCAGCTACATTACCTATGGTGCGTTCGTTAATATTAACTGTGCGGTCCAGAGTCACTGTGGTACAGACTGGACCGCTGGTGAACAGCTGTTAGAACGGGCCGTTCAGGTGTTCAGAGCAGAGCTCCCTGTCGGAGCGGCAGAGCGTGATGTGCACTGAAAAGTGTTCCTGTCGCAATATTATCGTTGAGCTAGCTAACTAGCATACATTGTCACTATCTGCTAACGTTAGCTTTAGCCTTCGTTTTCAAATAGTTTTTTTCATAGGCTATAAACGGAGGTGGTATAAGTATATATCTTGTACTTGAGTAAAAGTAGAAGCACTCAGGTCTTGTACTTGAGTACAAGTAGAAGTACCAGAGTGTATGAATACTCTGTTACAGTCAAAGTCCTGCATTAAAAATGTTCCTCAAGTAAAAGTAGAAAAGTATTCTCATCAAAATATAGTGAAAGTACAGTAAAAGTAGTGATTGTGCAGATTGGTCCATTTCAGAATAATATATATGATATGTTTTATAATGATTGATCATGAAAGTGTTCTCAAAGCTGGTAAAGGTGCAGCTAGTTTGAATGACTTTGTATACTGCAGGGTAGCTTGTGAATTTACTCCAGGTGGAACTAAAGTCTGATTTAACACTTGATTATATTTCACATCATTCATCCACATCTGTGAAGTAACTAAAGGTATTAAATACATGTAGTGGAGGAAAAGTACACCATGTACCTCTGAACTGAAGTGGAGTAGAAGTACACAGTAGCAAAACATTGAAATACTTAAGTAAAGTACAAGTATCTCAAAATTGTACCCAAGTATAGTACTTGAGTTTATAATAATAATAATAATAGCTTTATTTTATATAGCGCCTTTCAAGGGACCCAAGGTCGCTTTACAACTAATATAGGAAAAACAAACATAACAAAACAAAAGTCAGACAGACAAAACAACAGATCGATTAGGGGCCGAAAGCCTTGGCAAACAGATGGGACTTGAGGCCCTTTTGAAGGCGTCGAGTGTGGGGATGTTGCGAATCTCCGCAGGGAGAGCGTTCCAGAGGGTGGGGGCTGCCACACTGTAGGCTCTGTCCCCGAAGGTTCGCAGTTTGTTGCAGTTTTATGAACTTAGTTACTTTACACCACTGGCTATACAGACAGAAAGACTAAGCCTTGCACAGAGGCATGAAAATACATTTTCAAAATGCTCAACAGTGCTGCCAAAATTATAAACTGACTGCTACACAATTAAAATAAATGCTTTTATATATTTCTATTAGATGTGACTCTTTGGCGTTTCTGTTATTATTAACTGCTTTAGTTGTTCTGACTGCTAACATCCTGTTGTTCCTCATTTGAAAGCCGATATTCCGTGGGGTCGGGGGGCTCGGATCCTTGTCACCTTTTTCATACCTGATGAGTTTGCATCCCTGATTATACAGAGGGTGATCACAGTTTGAACACTACTACCTTGTCCGAACCATTGTTGAAATCCTATCCTTATTATGCAAATAGTGCTAAGTAAAGCACCATATGCTAATAGTGCAAATTGCCCAACATATACAAGTTAGCATGTAGTGCTTTCTAAATGCTTAGGGCCCCTACTTAACATTTTTAACATAAAACATTTAATTATCTGATTTTGTATTCATGGTCCAGGTTCACTTCCTGAATGCTGAACACAGGACACACCCTTCTGCACTGGCATAGGGCAGAAGGGTAGTTCGCTGCTCACTAACATATAATGATGGCGATACCTCGAAGGGAATAAGGAACTCAAAGGGCACACCTCTCTCATTTCAGACGAGTTCCTTCTCTCCTAATGTCGATAAACCAACACTAGTTCCTGTCAACATAATACAAACTCATTATTATCAGAAACTTCCACCTTTCAAAGAATGAGCGGAAATCCCACTTTTTTTAAATGCACTCTTTAAACATGTACACTTTTAATTATCTGAAGTGTTATAGTAACTTAAGCTGTTAGATAAATGTAGCAGAGTATATAAAGTATTATGAAATAAAAACACAAATCAAAACATCAAATAAAAGTGTATCAAAACTGTACTCAAGCACAGTACTTGGGTAACTATATTTCTACATGCTCTTCCACTGCAGTAAATAGTATTTTACATTCCAGAACTCTTGCTGTTTTGAATGTCGCCTAATTGCTCTCTAGTGGCCACTCCTGGGTACTGCAGCAGAAGGGAACAAACAGTTTGTATTCACTAAGTGTCTGATGACTTAAAGTAGTTACTCTGAAATGCATTTCATTTGAACAATTGTTTTCCATTCGTCATATATCTGTGTTTATTACATCTGACCTACACTATATAGAGCAGGGGTCTCCCAGACAGTTTGAAACGCGAGGGTCGTGATTGGTCCGTGATTGGTCCGTGATCGGCCGTGATCGGTTCGTGATGAAGAGCCGGCCCCCAGTCTGACTTGAGACCGCCCCCGTGATAAATAAATGTAATTATTGTGAAGCCAGCTGCAATGGATCATTGATCCACCAGGGGGTGCAGTGGGGTTCCACACTGGAGTCATGTGAAATCAACTTCGATACAGTAAGCTGGATGTACAGTATGTCTGGTACTACTGTATAGCGGATCTTTGTTAAGATCCATATGTCACGGATAGGATCATAGTCTGTGCTAAATAAGACATGTAATCATTTACAAAACATCACCATGTTGTTATTTAACAAAATAATGTTGTTTAGTCGAAAAAAACGAACGAGAGGAAATGCAGCCGGCTCTCGATTTTTAATCCTAATTTAATCATCATCTTCACCACGATCATTTATGTTTATGTTCGCCGAATTGACATGAAATCACTGACAAATATGAATATACTGTATTCAACTTCATTGAAATGTTATTAACGTGCCTAAACTCAGTAATTCACTAAAAATATTTATATTTTAATGGAGCCTTGTCAGGCAGATCAGGATCCGGACGCGTAGCGGAGGGATCTTGATCCCTGGGTGTTATTTTTCCCCATAATGACCAAGTCGCTGCAAATTATCCCGCTTATTACATGGCCACATTCTCAACAAAGTAACGACATGACTCCCAATATTAATTGAAATGCTTTTATGGATTTAGAAAATGTTTTTATTGATTTAAAAAAGAGTTGTATGTATTGATTTAAATTGACATGCATCCGCTAAGAAAAATAGTCCGTTGTTACCGTTTTTTAAACAGTCAGAATGAAACGGCAGCTCTCAGCTGTGTGTTTACACACCTAATGGCCCATCAGCCACAGCTCTCTCCCCCCCCTGATCTTTCTTTTCCAACAGTTAAGTTAACTGTAGGTTACTCTGAGTGACAAGCTTACAGTTAGTGAAGTAACACTTTTTTTTTGTGAGTCACGACCTGGCTGTTTCATTCTAACATAACGCTCCAAATATGACTGTTTCCACTCGGACTTCAATACAGCAACACCATTGTTTGGTTTCCATGGTAGCGTGTCTCTTTAGTAGCGTGCACTCCTTTCCTGTAAATTACAGGTCCAGCCAGGCAAAACAGTGCACTTCTCTTTCCCGCACTACTGTGACAGACCATGGGGCTGGGTCAGCCACTAACATATTCATATTGCTCTTCTCAAAAAGAGAAATATGAACGTTAGTTTTTAACTGAAATGATCAAATAAAGTCAAAATATCACAGTGTTTACAAACATTGACCATACCGTTCACCAGCCCCCACCCCCCTATGTTGCATGCAGCCGGCTCTCCCGATTTTTAATCCTAATTTAATCATCATCTTCACCACGATCATTTATGTTTATGTTCGCCGAATTGACATGAAATCACTGACAATTATGAATATACTGTATTCAACTTTATTAAAACGATCAGGATCCCTGGGTGTTATTTTTCCCCACAATGACCAAGTCGCTGCAAATTATCCCACTTATTACATGGCCACATTCTCAACAAAGTAACGACATGACTCCCAATATTAATTGAAATGCTTTTTTGGATTTAGAAAATGTTTTTATTGATTTAAAAAATAGTTGTATGTATTGATTTAAATTGACATGCATCCGCTAAGAAAAATAGTCACTAGACACTTGACACTGTGGCTTTTGGCAAAGCAGAAAAAGAACACTCAAACCGAGAGATGAGTTATTATTACAACGTGACTTCACTATTATTTAACAACTGTTTTTATTGGGTTCTTTTATTTGGGGTTAAGTATAGGTGAATTGCACTAATGTGGGAAGATCGTGATGTCTCCTCCGATCTGCTTCATGATCTTCTTTCTCCCGCTGTGTAGATTGGGGGACCGCCGTCCTCTGTCTTCAATGTTCGACATCGCGTGAAACAGAGGATTTCGACATTCTGTATTCCTTGCTTACTTCCTTAAACCTTTTCTCCTCCTTATCTCTTTCATGACTTTTTATTTAATGCTTTATAACAGCTGTAATAGTTCGTTTAGAAATCCTCCGCAGCGCCGCCCACCTCCCTCCGGCTGAAATTATGAATGTACAGTAAGGCATAGTAATCATAGATAACACGGCAGGGTCCGTTACAGTTTGTTTTCATCTGATTTCAAATAAACAAAGTCTT